GCATCGCGCTGCACATGAGATCTTAGACTGACTCATCCTAGTACCCGCAGCTTGGCCTTTGCCCCAGCTCCCCCCATTTCTCCCACCCAGCCCCAACCACCCTTCTACTCTCTGGTCTATGACTCTGCCGTCTTTGGGCTCCACAGATGAGTGAGGTCGCGTGGTATTTGTCTTTCTGTGTTGGGCCTATTTCATTTAGCGTAATGTCCTCCAGGTTCACCCATGCTATCACAAGGGGCTGGATTTCCCTCCCTTTAAGGCTGAGTAGTATTTACTGTGATTTTCTCTACCCGTTCGTCCTTCCATGGACAGTAGGTTGTTTTCCCATCTTGGACATTGTGAACACGCTGCAGGGAATGCGGGGGCTACAGCTATATCTTTAAGGTACTTACTTCTTTCCTTTAGATAAACACCCGGAAGTGGAATTGTTGGATGGTACGATAGTTCCACAATTAATTTTTTGAGGAGCCTCCATACTGCTTGCCGCAGTGGCTACACCAGCTCACATTCCCACCAACAGTGTCCATTTTCTCCAAATGACTTTTTACTAACTGAACCTCATCATAAACAATAGTAGCTATAAAACCACAAATGTGAGATGCTAGTTCTATAACTTTTGGATACACATTTAAAATTCTCTCTAAGCATGTGTCACTGTTAAAAGTAAAGTGTTCTACCACGTCCCAGCTAACAGTGCTCGCCACGCAGGAGGTGTCCCTGACGCTGGGCGCCGGGTCTGACCCACACCGTCCGTGACCAGACGGGAAGCCGAGCTGGGAGCGAGTGTGGCATGTCGTGTGGTCAGGACAGGAGCCATGTGTGTGGAGTTAGCATCCAGGTCTGCTGCCACGAAGGGCAACCCAGCAGGTGGGGTCCGAGTTGCACCATTGTAAGCTCTGTCACCTGCACATGTCACTTTACCCCTGGAGCCTGGTTGTGTCCTCTCTGCTGTGGGGCAGTGACCCTGCCTGACCCCAACAGGCTCCACAGTGTCTGATCGTGTCCAGAACAGGCCGGATGGCCCCTTCCCCTCCCTTTTCTCTCTCCAGGGCTGCTGTGGGGGGCATGGCAGTGAACCACTGGCCGGGGACTCCAAAGGGGAGTCTGCCCCCCTTTCTTCCTCACCTCTCACCACCAGCCATTTCTACCCTGCCTTTTGCCAGTACCAGGCCACTGTCCCTGCGGGCCCAGCCTGGCATGACCTGGGTCAGGAAGCCTGCCAGAGGCCCTGGCACCCTCTGCATCTGTCTGGCCAGCCGGACATGGGTAGTCCAGCCTCGTGGACTGGAGCTGTGGGCCAGTGTCCTGCTGACCTGGTCAGCCCAGCCCTGGATCCATTTCTCCCAAAGTGAGGGAAGAGGCTCCTGCATTCTCTACAGCTGGGAAGGGCGCCCCTGCTTCTGATCCAGGCGATGCTGCGGAGCTGGCAGGGAGGCTGTGCCCTGGCTGAGGGCTGCATCCCCCAGGGCCTCTGCAGGAGCCGGGGTGAGGGCCCGGATCCGCCTCCAGGCTTCACTCGCGGTCATCGGTGAAGAGCCCTCCCAGGACCATGTCACAGTCCCAGGGGAATCTGGGGAGGCCAGAGCCCCGGGGCCTGTGAGCTCCAGGGCCCCTGCCAGGCCTGGTGAGTGGTGTCCACAGCTGGAGCTGAGGCAGCCAGTAGCCGGGCCAGTGGGGGGTCCTGGGGCAGTTCCAGAGGGAGAGGGGCTCCGCCTCCTCAGCTGGGCTGCCTGTGAGAGCGGGGTGAAGGTTCAGGAATATCTAAGGGGCTCTCATCCCCCACATTCCTCAAAGGACAGACACATGGCTCTTGGGTCCCATAGATGCGTTGACTGTCCTGTGGGAGCCGCACCCAACCCTGCCTCTGTCCATGGCCTCTCCCTCCCTTCCCACACCTCCCTCCCGGGACCACAACCTGTGCTGTCGTCCTGGGGCTGCTTTACCTCCAGAGACCTGTCCCCGCATCCTGATCTAGGCCGGGCCTCCTTCCCGCTCCCCGCCTCTCCCCCGCCTCCCTCTGGGGGCTGGTCCTACTGCCTCATCTTCCCAACCCTCCAGTCCCCTCCCTGCATCCTCCCCAGCCCCACGCCATTGCGTTGCTGCAAACTCTAATTAAGCCTTTCCTGAGCTTTGACCTTAAAACCTTCCAGGATCGACATAGGGTAGAGTCCAGGGCTTTGCCATGTCCTCTGGTCAGCTTAGACTTTGCCAGCAGCATGACGGTTCCCAACAGCATTGGTGCCACCTGGAGACACGGCACGCGGGCAGAGCCTGTGCCGTGGCGCCAAGCAGGGTGGCTAGCCAGTCCTGGGCTCCATTTCCTGGCTCGGTGACTCCAGGAACCCCCGTGGCTGCGCTGCCGTGGATTGAATGAGCTCCCAGGTGTAACCCAAGCAAAGCTGCAGGCAGAGGATGGAGGCCAGGGCCTGAACATGGAGTTTAAAGTCAAGTGTGTTCAGTGCCTACTCTGTGCCCAGCCCGTTGCAGGTACAGGCCTGCAGCAGTGGGGCCTCACACAGGCTCGGCTCTCACGGGGTCTCCGCCCTGTGCAGGGAGCCGCCTGCACCCAGGCACCAGGTGGAGCTGCCCTGGGCAGGACCTCCCTGGTCCTGGGGAAGCTGCCTGTCTCACTACCTCACTTTGCTGGTGGATCTGAGCACAGAAATAGGGGTCCCACGGAGGGGAGGGGGGATTGTCAAAGCAAGGCCGGCTGAGCACAGGCAGCAGATCTCTGGGGAGTTGCTGCGACACAGACCCGGGTCCCAGAATGCCTCTAGCCCAGCCGTGGGCAAACTACGGCCCGCAGGCCGTTTGAAATGAATAAAACTAAAAAAAAAAGACCGTACCCTTTTATGTAATGATGTTTACTTTGAATTTATATTAGTTCACACAAACACTCCATCCATGCTTTTGTTCCGGCCCTCCGGTCCAGTTTAAGAACCCACTGTGGGCCTGGAGTCAAAAAGTTTGCCCACCCCTACAGCCTCTCCTGGGGGCGGCTGAGAGATCTGCAGTTAGACTCCGTGATCCTGGAGGATCAGCACCTCTGCGTGGGCCAGGCCTCGGGGACCTTCACTTAGAGGAGACACTGGTCGAAGGACATTGATGCTTTGGGCTTGGTTGTATTCATGCCTGAGAAGAGACTCTGACTCTTCACAAAAGCCGGGGTTTGCCCTCCGGCTACAGACCACACCCACCTCCCAGTCCCTGCAGGTCAGAGCCAGCCGGGTGCCTCCTGGTACCAGAATGAGACTGGAAGGAGCCTGGGAAGGACGGTGGCGGCTGCCTTTCATCTGACCCGTTGTGTGGGGTTGATCTCTTCTTCTCGACAACCTGGGAAGAAGGCATCCCCCACCCACCCCATGCCCCTGCCCCAAGGAAGAGAAATGGGCTGGGGAAGCTCCTGGTTGGTGAGGCAGGATGGAACCCAGGCCTGTGGGACTCCAGAAACCGGGCTCTCCCTGGGGGTCCTGGGCTCTGGTGGAGAGGTCTGCGCTCTGTTCCCCAAACTGGATGAGGGCCGACTCTTCTCATGAAGGCACCTCAGCCCCATTCCCAGCCCCTCCTAACGCCGCCATGCTGCGGTCTCAGGGACCGGCCAGGGCCCCAGAAGCCCGGCACCGGGAGCCCTTTCCCTGCGTTACCTTCCCCGCGGCCAACGCTGAGAGCATCGGTGGCTGGTGATGTTGAATGATAACTTTTAAAAGAGAGTACAGTCACAACTCACAAATCTAAAGTGGACACCTGCAAACATTGTACTTCATTAATGAGAGAACCAGTACGATGTTGCCACTGGCTTGTAGGAAAATTCAAAGCACCTGACACAGAAGGCTGAATGGTGAAATGAATTTACAAACAGATGCAGAACTGGCTGAACACAATTTTGCCCAGTTGAAACCCGACTGGACAAAACTCATTGCATCCCTGTGGACAAGGATCATTTGCATTGCTATCGGGTATCGACAACTTAGAGTGGCATGGTAGCTGAAGGGCAACAAAAGTCCCCGGAGACAAGAAAAGTTGGGAGACCATAGCATCCAATCACCCGGAAGGCTGGCTTAGAAGTGCCTTATTTTGCATTGAAGACACCAGCCATCTTCTGACTCCTTTCAAAGTCCTTCATCTCCCAGATTTGGGCCACAAACGTGGCTCTGAGCTTCCTGGCAGCCAAGTCACAGAGGAAACAGTGTCTCTGAGGACAGCTGTGTCGTAGTTGTTCACCATACGCTCAGCGTCTCCTTGCCTTGGGACCAGGTCCATCTTCCAGGAGGGGCCTCGTAAAGGAAGCCCGGTGAGAAGGAAGTCTTTCAGCACCATTCCCACGACACAGGCAGTGGCCACACGGCTGCAGCTTCCGGAGGCCGCGCAGTGGCTCTCGGCGTGTCCCCGGCCAGCAGCAGCAGCCTCACCTGGGCACTTGTCCGAAAGGCAAATTCCCAGGTCCACCGAGACTCTGGGGCGGGGCTCAGCTAGCTGTGCTGCAACAAGCCTTCTGGATGATTCCGATGCGAGCTGGAATTTGAGAACCCCGGGTACCGATTCTCAACCTCACCATCACTTTGGAACGACCTGGAAAGCTTGACCACAACATCATGGCTGGGACCACCCCAGACCAATTAAATCAGGATGGGTGGTGTAGGGCCCAGTTATGTGTATTTTTAAAGCTCCCCGTAGGGTTATACTGGTGGCCAGGATGGAAGCTCACTGCCACTGAGTCATTTAATGAGAACCAAGGGCCAGAGATTTCTCTGCTCTAGAGAATGCCAGACCTGCACTAATGAGCCTCCCTCCCCACTCCCATCCTCCCTCCCTCCCTCCCTCCCTCCCTCCTTCTCTGTAGTCAATACAGAGCTCACCTATGGCAGAGTCCAGGGCCCCGATGAAAAGGCACTCAGGAAGGCAGTCCCTAAGGCAGCCGGGGTGTCGGGGACGACGCAGGGCAGCGGGGTAGCCCTTGGCCCCGCTCCATCCCGGTCTGATGCTGCTGCTCTTCTTGACAGGCTGCCCGCGGCTGTGGGAGAACATGAGCTGCTGGCCCTCCTCCGAGCCCGGACAGACGGTGGAAGTGGAGTGTCCGCGATTCCTCTGGTTGTTCACGGGCAGAAACGGTAACCCTCAGCCCCTGGGCCGGCGGAGAGGCGGTGGGTGGCCTCTGAGCGGGGCCTCAGCCCGGACCCATGAGACCAAGGAAACTTCTTTGGGGACAAAACATGAGTGGAACGATGGGGGTCCTTGCTAGGGATTGGAAACCTATCTGGGGTGGGAGGGGTGGCGGGGGGGCGGGGAGTTGATCCTTAGGGTCCCAAGCAAGGGGGCAGGAGGCAATGGACTGGGGACATGCTAGAGGAGTGTAGGCTGGCTCCGCTCCTTCCTCCTATGTTCCTCCCCCTCAGGAACCAGGACCCTCGCTCCAGCACCGTGCTGGGCCCCAGCCGGGCACAGCCTGTCCTCCCAGGACACTTGCTTCCTGTGCCCCTTCTGCCAGGCCCTGCTGAGCAGCTGGCCTCCTGGGGTCGCTTGCCTGAGGAAAGCTATGTTTACAAGGACTTTCTTAATCTCAGGCAGGGAGGCTAGGAGCTGATCAGATGGATGCTCAGGGACTGACGCGGCTACAGCGCCATATGTGCCAGCATTTAGTCACCACAACCCCCTGCACTCACAGGCCTTCCCCTGTC